ATAAAAGTTTATTCTCCGATTACTTTCGACTGTTTTACCGCTCAAGTTTGTTATGCGTGACATCTTTGGATAATTACAAAACATAAAAATCGAGTTCGAGGACGAAAGTAAGTGAATCACGATTCATGAGAACAAAATCATAGACCAGACCATTGTCGTAGTGAATCTTATAAAGTTTCTGCGCACACAAAAAACAGAGTAAGTGCAAATAAAAGTGTAGTCTGTGTACAAATAGTTGGTGGCATTGTAGTTTTGTTGATTACGAATATTCATCTTCGAACTCGACCTCTGGTGTTCGTTTTTTACTTTAACACTATCCTTTTTTATAAAGAAAGTTAATCAGTATAAAGCAAATATGCAATTAAATTCCTTGTTTACTCTTGCCTTCTGTTGTCCATCATTTTCTTCTGTCGTATGCTATCTCATCAAGTGGACCTAAATTTTCAGTTTTCGTTGCCAGAAATCCAAACAATACAAATAATAATAATACAAACTGTCGTTTCTCCAAAAACAATTACGTGATGGAGCAAATTGAAGAAAAGGTTTGGTAGGGATGCCAATACAAATTTTAAAAAGGCCAATCAGAGCATCGTTTGAGTCGTGATTCTCCAAACAGCATTAGTACTCCAAGTACCATACTTGGTTCTTTTTTGTTTTTATTGTTAGGTATCGATCAATATATCTCGAGAGAGATCAAGTTGGTCCGTAGGGTCCAGTAATTCAGCCTTTTGCAAGGGGGTCCCCAAAACAGATTTTATTTGTTTTTTTTTCTCTGTAGCCATGATTTTCATTTTCATTTTTCTTTTCTTCTGCTTAAACTGTTTAAAAAAAAATGGAAATAAAATAATTAAAACATGGAAACAGTCTTGATTCGTGCATCTTTTCTATTTGTGGGGTTTTTCTGACTTTCTTTAGCTTTTGAGGTTGTAGGTGCTTGTGCTTTTTTTCATTATATAGTCTCTATGAAAAAAGTTGGGACTTATCAATCATCTAAGTACTTAACCATGACTTTCTTTCTATGCGTTACTCCTGCTTTAAGGAAAACATGGACATGCAGATGCGGTCGATATATCATTCAAATGTCGTTGTAATTATTGATATTGTTGATATGGTGAAGTTATATTTGTTAGAATGTAGTTGATATGGTTGTTGGTTTATTGTCTTTTGTGTCCACAAGTGCAGTTAACTGCAATGTATAATTGATAGTCTTGCACAAAACCATTAGTAGTGATTATAAATCATTTGGACGACGTACTAAATTAATATGTATTCGTGAAGCTACAACTTTATGCTCTTCAAGGCTCTTTCCTTTAGTTTTGCTTATCATTAGAAGCTTCTAGCTAGGGTTTCCTACACTTGAATATCATGTATCCAAGATCAAGTACGGAAGATCAATTGTGTACGTTAAAGTAGTGATTTTTCAAAGTAAAATGTAAGCTAATGTATATGTAGTGCTGTCGTCTCACCTTTCTCAATTCTCACTCCTCTTACCGACCTTAGACTAGGGTTACTTAATTGTCCTTAAAATATTCTTGCATCTGCCTTCGTCGTGAAGGCAATTAAATCATGTAGGTATATGCTCTTGCTTGCAAGTAATCACGTCTCCAGATGTTGAGTTTATTATTTGCAGAATAAGATTTTTTTGGTTCATCAAATGGTAGAATCCTATTCGATCATAGTTTTTAATCAGAAATAATAACCGCACACTGTTTTTCTCATCTATTACGTACTCTCTTGATTTTTAGTCATCTAATTGAATAAATCAAGCCACTTAGTACTACGATTTAATAATATTCTTCTTTACTTGTAAGTGAGAGGTCTTAGGTTCAATTCTCGTCAAAGTCGAATTTGAACCACATTATTGCTAGCGTAGTGTGAGACTAAGCCCAACCCCCTTTAGTGTAGATAATAATGTTTGTTTGAAAGAAAAAAAAATGAATAAATCAAAAGAAAACAACCAACGAAATTGAATATGTGTTGTTATCATTTCTATTTTTTAATCAATTAAATAAGATTGTCTAATATTCTGGTTCTGCAACTAGCTAGGGTTCGACACAAAATCCCTAGTTGATATGCTGGGAAGTGGAAGGAGCTAGTGATTATTGGAGCAATATTAGAAAATATAAGAAATATAAAAGAATTCCAATAATAATAATCATAAAGAAATTTCACAACATCAATTATATATGAGATTAATATAAACAACTAGAGATAAAGTTAGAAAAAATTGACAAACAATCTTGGATTCTGGCGAACTTTATATATTTCGTAGTCTCAAGACACAACTCGGAATTTGACACACGAAGCATGAGAGAAACAAAGTGGGGAAACCCTATTTCTCAAGAGTAAAAATTAACTCTAATTTTCTACATTTTAATGATAATGGTTTCATGAGTTTATATAGAACCCACGTACTTCTTGTTAAGGAGATGTAACTTTTCATCTATAAGTATATATTACTTATCAAGAGAATACACCTAAACAACATAACCTTTCTAAGAAATTGATTAACACTATTTTTCATTCTGTTTGTACCATACTTGACCAATCCCGAAACTACTGAGCACGGTCAACGTTATACCGTTAAGGACCCAGAAGAGTTTCCTTCCAACCAGGAAGCCAATCACAGCGCGACACGTGTCGACATCAGAAGCCAATCATAGCGTGACACGTGTCAACATCAGAAGCCAATCACAACACGACACGTGTCAATGTCAGAATGAAACTAGAAAATTTCTTCTATAAATAGAGATCATTCTCTCACAATATTTCCGAATGTCATTTGTACTAAATCATTCACTTGTACTCACTAAATGAGAGCTTGAACCTATGTACTTGTGTAAACCCTTCACAATTAATAAGAACTCCTCTACTCCGTGAACGTAGCCAATCTGGGTGAACCACGTACATCTTGTGTTTGCTTCCCTATCTCTATCCATTTACATACTTATCCACACTAGTGACCAAAGCAATCTAGCGAATGTCACAAACTTAACACTTTCTGTTGTACCAAAGTTCTCACTGATTTTATGCATCAACACATTCAATTATTAAAATTATATATTACAATATTTCATATTATAATATAGAATTTCCAACAATGATAACAGGGAAATGAAGGGTTTTTACATTCCCCTTTGCGTGCAATCAGTCGATCAAAGCGATGGACGTGATATATATGTGTGTGTGTGTGTAAAAGTCAAGCTGATAAAATCATCCAATGCACTTCAGATATAATATCCTATTTATGTATATAATTATAATATATGCATGCATGCTTGAAAACACTTTTACTGATCAAGTCATGCATGCGCAAAGAACCTTCCCGTGCAGCCTTCCAATGTCTGCCAAACTGATGTAGTCATGCATGCGCATGAACCTTCCCATTCAGTCTTCCAATGTTTGCCAATAACTAGTGGGTTTTTCCAAAATCTGTATAAACAAAAAAATTCAAAGCCCAAAAACGTTATTAAATCATGAATAAAAGGTGATTTTATTTTAGAACTTGCGTCTACGTATCTCTCTTTATTCTCTACAGATGCACACACTATATTGACCAACATGTCTAGCGCCCATGTCTATAACAAAATCTCTAATGTAATTATTTTGTTTATCTATCTCTTTTATTACATGACTGGTCATGTTACGAAAATGATAAATGTGTTAAAACTGTAAATTTTATGTTAGGGAATTAAAGGACAGACCTTGCGCGTCTTTACGAAATTTTCTATACTGCTAATTGATTTTGTGGTGAAACCTCAACTGTTTTCCTAATGTCAAATAGGTGACAACTATTTATGTAATCTCTACACATATGAGCACGATGCTTTAGATAGCTAGGTTAGTTTGGTGGTTGAAACTTGAAAGGTGCCCAATAAGTTGGTTGGTTGGTTGGTTGGTTGGTTGGGCGTACGTCCAGAGCCGAAAGGAATTGGCCAAAAATTTTGGTGGGAGACGGAGACAGATCAAAGGGCCTAATTTTGCATGGATGTTTTGAGACCAATAACTCAAAGAAATTGTGTGTCAAAGAAGGACGGCACCCATTCTCATCCAGTTAAAACACTCAATTATCTGAAAGGGAAAAAAAAGGAGAAATCTGAAAAGGGCAAAAGGAGAAAAGAGTTCCACAAAAAATACAAAAGAAAAAAAAAATTCTCGTAGATCTTCTTTCTCTGATCGTCCCTTTCTCATATATTGCAATTTTTTCAGTTTAGGGGAAAACCGCCACGTGAAGGACGACGACTTTGCATGCATTTTATTAGGGGGATGCGAAACTGATATGGGTACCGAAAACACAAGTCTATGTGAGCATGCATGTAGTTGTAGACCATAAGTTTTGATTTTTAAAACGCACTGGACTTACTACTTTGTACTACAGTCTCGTGGTATTCCTTTTCACTTGTAAATGAGAGGTCTTAGATAAGTTTAGCTCACTCACTCACTCTTTTAAGATGGGCAATAATATCGTTTGTTCAGAGAAAAAAAAAAACGCAGTGGACCTTTTCTTGGACATTGGCCCAAGCCTTCTAGAAGAAGAAGGGGACACTCCAACCCAAACCCAACTCGGGCCTTTAAAAGGGTAAAAATAAAACCCAACGTCATTATCTTGTAATCCCACATCGACTGTGCTTGCGCCATGGTTACTTCCTTCATATAATTGACGTCTTCGGATGTTAATTGCCGAGCTCAGTAACGCGGGCTTGTGACCCAAATGCGGGGGCATTAAAGATGGTGCCGAAGGTAAGTGCATTAGGTCGATCTCATTCTTCACAAGGAGAAATGATGCCGAAAGTGCTGAGTACTTGAGGTATACGCATCACCCCCCAAGGCTCGTCACCATGACTAGTCTTCTCTCTAGGTGTCTTCCTGTGTATATAGAGGTGTCTTGTTGTGTATACAGTTTTTAAATTGCGAAACTTATCGAACAGAGAAAGAAGTATCACTTCATCAATATCTCCGTAGCATGTCTCCATGGTAAAATTTCAGGCGATCATACAAAATTACGTGGACATAAAATAGTATCTTCATTAACTACAAAAGGAAACCAGTTCCAGACTCCATAGACGTACAAAGACACACATATATACAAACTTAAAACGCCACCAATCTCAGGCTCATAGCTGATCATAACTTATAATTAACGAAGTTATTGAAGGCGAGAGAGACCTGCTGACGCATGCTGCATCAAGATTATTGGAATGGAGACGCATTTCAAAGTCTACATAGAAGAAGCTAGAAGGAAGATGATCAAGAAAACACTGCGGCATTGCCTGTAGCAGCTTCGGGATGGTAAAGAAGCATTTCCCTCCACATCATCTCCCTTATCGTCTCTTCTCCTAAATCCTCGTCTATGTCAAGATCAATAGGTACCTCGGCTGGAGGGTTATTATTGGGATCATACAATGGGGACATGTAGGGGTGTTGGAGTGCTTCAGCGACGCTAATCCTCTTTGATGGATCAAAAACAAGCATCTTTTGCAGTAGATCAATTGCCAGAGGATGAGCATCAGGGTAAAGGCGGGTAAAGGGGGTCCCCATAGAATATGGCAACGATTTTATGTATTTCTTCGCCTTCAGATTGTCTATAAATTGGAGATCCTCCTCCCTCTGGCTTCCAAGGATGTTAATTATGAGTTTGAGCTGGTTGAGGCATTCTGTACCAGGGAAGATAGGTTTCCGGCCAAGAAGCTCAGCAAAGATGCACCCAACAGACCACACATCAATCGACGTTCCATAGTTGTCACAGCAGAGCAGGAGCTCAGGGGCACGGTACCAACGAGTGACAACATACTCAGTCATAAACTGCCCCTTTCCTGTGCTGGTACGAGCTAGCCCAAAATCACATATTTTTAAGTCACAGTTGGCATTGACAAGAAGGTTCCCAGGCTTCAAATCACGATGGAGAATGTTTGCAGAATGAAGATACTTTAGGCCTCGAAGCAGCTGCAAGGACATTCTATTTTCTTTAGAATAAGTAAAAACAAAAGACAACTGTGAATATATCCTTTTCAAGAAGAAGTACAAAAAAAGGGTCTTTTCCGAAAAAAAGAAAAAGGATGAAAGGCATAAGGAAGCACAGTAAAAGCAAATCTAGCGGTTCAATCAATCCATCATACTCTTCTCTTAAAAGCCCTACGCCAAACCAAATCAATGATTGACATTCAAATTGATGATAGAAATGTTAGCACCACTTATCAGTCTAGCACGGTTATGTAAATTCCACAATGCAACAATTTAGTGCAGCAGTCTAGTCTCCGAATTTTCATAAAACCGAACGAGAATTGTTAAAGTATTGTGCAGTATCAGTGTCTATGAAGCATTCTAAAATGTAAACATGTCTCATTTAAAATGTATGATGTTTCATTTTCCAAGTAGCCAACAATGGACAAGATAGCAAAAGTAAATTCGACAATATAGGGACGAGAGTACGAGTTCATACCGGATTAAATCACCAAAATTACTAACAATTTCACTAACGAAACAAAGCGAAAGACAATCCGAAAACATTCAATTTATGTTACCTGAAAGAGGAAATACTGGCAGTGATCATTCGAAAGCGGTTGCGAAGACTTAATAATCTGGTGGAGATCCGTATCCATGAGCTCATACACCAAGTAAACATCTTTAAAGCTCTTCCTCTGAATCGGCATCATCACATCCTTCAAAGCAATCACATTCTCGTGCCGGAGGTGCTGCAGCAGCTTCAGCTCCCGCAGCGTCCGCAGTGCGTCGATTCGGTTCTCGAACGCATTGTTGATCTTCTTGATCGCCACCTTCTCGTTCGTCTCCCTGTTCACCGACGAGCAAACGATGCCGTACGCTCCCCGCCCGATCGGCTTGATCGGCACGTACTTGGTGTCGATCTCAAACAGCGTCTGCCACATCGAGTAGTAATGCTTCCCTTTCGACCCGATCCCGTTCGGAGGCTCCACTTGCGTCGCCATTGTTCCTTCACATTAATAAATTCGATTCATTTCTGCTTCTTTTTCTGCAAAAAGCCATCGAATTTTCGCAGCAAACAAACAAAGATTTTACCTTTTTAGTCCAGTCCCATCCAATCCGCTAACCCACGTCCGAATTAGTCCCAATTCTCATCCAATCCACCGCAAACCCCGACCATTTCGCACTTACCCGCAAATTAGCCCCAATTTCATCGGCACAAACCCTAGTTTCCAATTTCGCGCCAGAATTTACCGAATCAAGTCATCGGGAATTGGGAATTCGGTTTCCGATCTGGGTGTGTAGAAATAGGGGCGATTGAAGAGCTGTAGATTCGTTATCTCAACGCGATCAGAGCAGAGAGGGGAATAAGCACGTGACCATTATGCGGATTTTATTTACTTGGACTATTATTTTAATTTTATTATTTATTATTTTCTTGTTTTTGTCTAATGGATGATGGATCGCAGCTTCTCTCACCGGATTTTGCTCTTGTAACGCTAGCGAGAAGAGCAACGGATATTTTTATGGGCGGGACCCATGTTTTTGCAGGGCGGGCATTCAACGGCCTTGCTACGTCGTCGTTCAATTTGATCACAACGAAAATTTCACACAAGGAAATGTTTTGTCAAACTTCAGCTCAATCAGGAATCTTGTCAAAACACCTTAGAATTTGGAACTTCTTGTTCTACATGCAATTACTTAGCATATTTCTCATTTAACGGTCAAATACGCAACTAGAAAAAAGGAGTATCACATTTGATTGCTACATAATGAATGTATATGAAAATGCATGTACCGTAGTCAAATTACAAAACTGGCCTTACTCAAGAAATGTCATGTGCATCGTTGGTGCTTCATTGTTGGTGGAAAAATTAGTTGGTCTAAATGCAAATGGTGAATTTTAAGTATCTTTTAATTGAAGTGACACGTTACTTCATTTTTCTTCTCATATCGACAATGCAATTATGATAAAAGTTCGCACAACCATTCAAGATCTCCTAAACAAAAGTAAGCATTAGTAAATGTGGTATAGTCACATTGTTAGATTGACAACCTCTTTTTTATGCAATCGATTACAAATGTCACTCAATACAACCATAAATATTTCATATTTGATATGAGAAAAGAACCTGAGAAAAATTGAGAGACGAGGACAAGGAACGGGGAGAGGGTAAGTGGAAGAGGTAATTAAACAAAAATTATGAAAGCAAAACAAATTTTAATAATTTTAATTTTTCAAATTGTTTTATAGAAACTTCAACTAAAGGCACTCGGTACTGTTCATCTTAACGAAAAATCACATATTTACACTAAAAAGTTAATCTTGGTATTATTCACTTTACTCTTTATTTTGTCATTATCGTTAAAACTCAAAATTTTCAAACTCTTTTTATTAATTTTCTTTTGTTTTATCCCTTAATCTTATGCAGGTATGAAAAAATAAAAATGAAATGTTTATCGAAAGCCAATACAAAATAAAAATTCAGAGTCACGTGATTGACTCGTGACTTTTAAAACGTGGCGCAAAATCGATAGCCGCGGCGCCAAACGTTGGTTTCCGTTACGACTCGGCACCCGTAAAGGTCCAACCGCTTTCCACGCGGACACAGAGAGACGCAGAGGAGACTGAGCGAAGCGATCAAATTTCACGAGTCCGAAAGGGAAGAAGAAGCTTCGAGCTTTCACAGCGATGATCTCTCAGTTCTTCGTTCTCTCGCAGAGAGGCGACAACATCGTCTTCCGCGACTGTAAGTCTCACTCTCGCTCGCTCGCATTTCATCCGACTCTTCAAAGTTTTGAATTTCTAGGGTTTCAGGCTTCAAATTTTCAAAAATTTCAAAAATTGATGCAGATCGCGGCGAAGTGCCGAAGGGAAGCGCCGAGATTTTCTTCCGGAAAGTGAAATTCTGGAAGGACGACGGCGACGGCGACGCGCCACCTGTCTTTGTAGGTATTTTCAATTTTTTTTTCTTTATTTGGAATAATTTATATTAATGCATTTGTGAGATGTTAATCAATTTTGCATGATTACCTTTCTTTAATTAATTCGTTCTAGAATGCGGACGGTGTAAATTACTTTCATGTGAAAGATGCTGGGTTGTTATTTGTTGCAACGACGAGAGTGAATCTGTCGCCTTCTCTTGTTTTGGAACTTTTGAGAAGGATTTCTAGAGTCGTTAAAGATTACCTCGGGGTCCTTAGCGAAGAATCGCTGCGAAAAAACTTTGTGCTTGTGTACGAGTTGCTGGACCAAATCATTGTGAGTGTCTTCAAAGTCCTGCATTTTATGACTTTATGTGTATGTAATATGGCTTACCTGTTGTCAATTATGGCAGGATTTCGGTTATGTGCAAACTACTTCGACTGAGCTTTTGAAGTCATATGTGTTCAATGAGCCGGTTGTGGTTGATCCTGCGCAGTTTCTGCCTCTGGGTTCTGCTGGAATTTTTACGGTATTATTTATATGATAATTTTCTTTCTGGTGGCAGTATTTCATTTGTTCTGATTGATCTGTTTCTGATTGATCTGTATGGTTTGATTGACTTGCTAAACTTGCTTGTTGGTATCAGGCCAAAAGAATGCCAGTAACTACAATCGCAAAATCTGTTGTTGCAAATGAGCGTGGAGGTAGAAAGAGAGAGGAAATTTTTGTGGACGTAATTGAAAAAATGAGTGTTACATTCAGTTCCAGTGTAAGTACCTCTTGTGTTTCGGTCGCCATTTTTAATTTCTTGTTAGTCACAGCTCCCAGGTGGTAATCAATTTTGAGCTTTTTTTATTACTATTATGTTGTTCTTGCAGGGATATATACTTACTTCTGAGATTGATGGTACCATCCAATTGAAGAGTTATCTCACAGGCAATCCAGAAATTCGACTGGCTCTTAATGAGGAAGTGAGTATTGGAAGAGGTGGAGGGTCAGCCTATGGTAATCTTTCCACTATAGAAAATGCTTTTAAGATGTCGGTAGTCTTCATTAACTTTCTTTCTTTTATAGTTTGCTGGGTTTGAGTGAGATATGTGAGGTTAGGATATCGGTACTGTCAGCATTGTCCTCTTAATCTGATTATGCTGCCTTTTCCAACAGATTATGGTTTAGGAACAGGGGCTGTTATACTGGACGATTGTAATTTCCATGAATCTGTACATCTCGATAGTTTCGATGTTGACAGAACACTTTCATTGGTGAGTCTGATTGAGACATTGTACTTTATAATCGTGTGCAGTTCTTCTTGAGGATGGAGATAAAACTAATGTTCTGTTAGTGCTAAAGTTAATAGATTGCTCCACTGTTTAATAGGTACCAACAGATGGTGAGTTTCCAGTCATGAATTACCGCATCACTCAGGAGTTCAAGCCTCCCTTTCGTATTAATTCGTTAATTGAAGAAGCAGGACCGCTTAAGGTGAGAAAAAAGTAAAAAAATTCCTCCTATCTTAAAATAGTAACATCTGATTCCATCTAAATCAAGTTATGTTCTGTTAGGCTGAAGTGATTACTAAAGTGCGTGCTGATTTCCCCTCAAGCATTATTGCAGATAAAATCCTTGTGCAGATTCCGCTGCCACCATATACAACTAGGTAATTTGTTTATCTTGTAACTTTCTGCTGGTGAAAACATGGTGCATTTGCATACCTTAGAGCAAAATTAATGTTACTTCTGGTCAGCTGTCGTATATTTTTTTTTTCTGCTTGACTGAAGAGCATAGACTTGGTTGTTATTGGGTTAACTTTTGTTTGTAGGTATTTGACCTATACTATACTCAACTAGTAAACATTGATACTTTTTCAAGTAGGGTTCATTATTATACACAGGATAAACAACAGTTGAGCAATTGCAGTTAGGCAGACAATCCATTTCCTGAATTATTCCTTTTTTTCTTTTCTCCGCCTTAATATAATATATTGCGGGGAATTGGCTCTTGTATGTTACACACTAGTTATTACGTTTCAGTTCATACTTGTGACAGCTTTTAGAAAATTTGGATGAACTTCTTAGAAACTAGCCTCGATGTCGTGTATTTTTGTGTGTTATTTTACTCAGCAGGTAACCACAGACATGATGGGGGAAAAACTTACTTTCAATACCGGTTCCATGTCTGCATTACTAATCCTCTTCTTGTCTGCTCTGGGATACATTAGGGTTAGTTTTGAGTTGGAACCTGGAGCAGTTGGAAACACAACTGATTTTAAGGAAGCAAACAAAAGAATTGAATGGGGTTTAAAGAAGGCAAGGATTTCCTTTGCTCTCAATAAATATCTTTCTCATTCTTCTTCTTTGGAAGATTTATTAAGAGTTGCATATTACTTCTGCTATGAGCCTGCTTCAATGTCTGAAATTAGTAATAGGTGCCTTGCATTGTAGATTGTTGGTGGATCTGAACATACATTACATGCAAAGCTGACATTTTCACAAGAATCACATGGTAATACATTATTTTATACTTGGGAGTCTGTAATGCTATATAATCTTCGTTGTTGTTTATGTGTCAGAGAGAAACAAAGAAACCGATGTGTGAATGCTACTTTATTGTGTACTTGTACTAATGCAGGAAATATTACCAAAGAAGCTGGACCTGTTAGCATGACCTTCACAATACCCATGTTCAATTCTTCAAGGCTTCAGGTAAGATTTTCTCTTGACCTTGTAAGGACCTAATCGGATGAGGCCATTGCTGTGGACCTATGGTACAAACTCAGAGCTCTAAGTTAGATTAATTCTATGAGATTGTGTAGACATTACACTGCTGGGAGTCTACGTAAGCAGTTGTATCTTCATTTCATACTTAGGAAGGCCCTGACTCCCTTGCCTTCTGATCGAATCCAATTGTTGGGTTGATGCCTCTCACGGCAGCAGTCAGCTGGGAACATGTTTATTATACTTGCTACCTAAAGAAAAAACTAACTGGAATCGTACTAGTGAATGCTGTGTAAATTAAAATGAGTTTCCAAATTAGCTACCTAGTTGAGTTGGCTGACCTAAATTTGTGAATCAAACACACAACATGAACCAGATCTGTATTGTAAAACATGAGCTTTACTTATTTTTTCTTTTTCTGCCTTTCATACATCTATAATCATGTGTTCTAAGTTATTCTAAGACACCCGTTTCTTCATCTGTCTTGATGCAGGTAAAATACTTGCATATAACAAAGAAGTCGAAGAGCTACAACCCATATCGATGGGTGAGATATGTTACACACTCAAATTCCTACGTCGCCCGGTTGTAATGTCTCATCGCCCTAGTATGTTGTTCTGTTTTTCCTTCTCTATCACGGTGCTTTTGCTTACATGTACCATGTCAGATTTTATTTTGTTCTGTGTACTATCATGATTGACTCAATAAAGCACACTCTGAAATTTGGTAGAACTCGAACATCCTTGAACAACTAAAGTTCCCATC